GTGAAAGTGTTTTTTGTCCTTTCTTAAATACAAAAGTTTACAAAGAAACAAGAACATGCCGTGGTGTTAAAATATGTCAATTTGCAGCACCTGAATTAACCAAAATAACACATATATCAGTAAACTTTGATGATAATTTGTTTAAAAAAATATTTGAAGCAAATGAATCATCTTTGGATACGAATACTTTAAAGTATAGTAATTATTTATATATTTATATTTTTTATAATACATATTCAATACTAACATTTTTTATAATAGTGCATTTGCTACAGCACATAAAGAACCATGTAGATTTGTTTGTCCTCAAACTGGTATTCAATGTAATGGCAAACCTAAACTTAATACGCATTATCAGGTTTTTATAAAATAAAATTCATACTGTATATACTGTATATTATGCATCAATATTAATTTAATTATATTAATACTTAGCAAGAGGATGATACTTCTGCACCTACTTACTTTATTGGTTGTGAGAATTTTAAAAATGGTGAACGTGGTCATCGATACCAAAGTTTATCTGGACGCATTAATATTGAGTATTTAAAAAAACTTTTTCGTGAGCATATATATTATAATAATGGAATTACTAAAGAAGTATTTATTTTAAATTAATTAAATTAATTATTTAATAATTAAAAAAATTTAAATACTAATATTAATATATATTTAGATTTCAGATTCAATTCGACATTGCTATACGATACTTCCTTATAGTGCAAAAGCAAAAAATGCTGTATATATTTTTATTATCAATTAATTTAATAATTTAATATATATATTTTTTTAAATATTAACTAATTTATATTTGCATAGCTTATATTCATACTACAGAAAACAGTGAAGTTGCTCAAGGATTAATTCAAACAAAATCAAAATATCCTGTTAAAATTTGGTATTATGTACCTGAAGATCTTGAAAACTGTCCATATATTGTGATTATGTCACGAAATATTTATAACCATCTACCACTACTATCTAAAATACCTGTAGCGATCCAAAATGATTTAAAAGATATAATTGCAGAAGAGAATATTTTAGATTTAACTGCTAGGAAATTAATTACTCGTATGTATTTTTATTATATAATATTATGTAAGTTTTAATATTAATTTAAATTTATTAGGTACATCGATGCAACGATTTCTTAAAGGAGTTCCACTTTCAGAATTACATCCATCATTAAATAATAGATCAAAAATTGAGCATATAATTGCAACAAAACATCATGCTGAACATCCATATATCAAGATATTATGAGTGTTGCGCATATACTTTTGAAACAAAAACAAGATAATGATGATGATCCTTATATTAGAACTATCTGTAAATATAAAATATATATTTAAATAATTGTATATTATATATATATTTATTAATTTATATATATTTATTTTATTTTTAGGCTTTTTTGACAATGGTCAATATTTAATATTATGCGGTTATAAAAGTTAAATGAAATATTTGGCAAATTCTTTGTATTTTGAAATAGATATGAGTTTTAAACGTGTATATGGGCCAATTAATGAATGGGAAGTATGCGCATATATAGAAAATTATCGAAAAAGTAAGAAAATTTTAAATATAATATATTGTATACATATAAATAAATATATATATATATATATTAAATATTAATTATGTTTAAATAGCTCTAGTATTTGCACATACTTTTACAATCCTTCAAACAGCAAATACATACAAAAAACTATTCGAGGAACTTTTTACCTGTGTCGAACAAGATTGTGGACATTCTGTTGAGTTTCAACATATCCATAGTTGTGGAATTGGATGCATTTTAGCTGATGAGCATTATAGTCAAGCATTAGGTAAATTTTATACTAACTGTTTTTTATTATTATAATTAATAATTACATATATATTTTATTAATTAATGTTTTAGGTTTGGGTCAATATTTAGCTGAAAGATTTCCAATTTTTAACGCTACTGAACATTTAGAACGAATTTATAAATTATGTACAATACATTTTAAAAGGTAAATTATATATATTTGCAATAAATTATTAAATTTATAGTATTTAATTTATTTAAATTATAGAAATATTCGCAACAAGAGAGGAATAAATAAGGAAATTAAAAAAAAAATGTATTCATTGATTGAAAATAAAACAGCATATGAAGTTATGAATACTCTTGTATTTCTCGAACATTGTGGTATAGCTGGTACGTATTACATAACTATATATAATTAAATTATGTACTGTATATTAAATTTATAATACTTACCATGTATATAATTTGTGTAATATTCACACACACACGTATATCAACTTATAAATTTACAAAATTTCAATTTTATAATTAATAAAATAAAAATAGAGCCAAGGAATTCGATAAACATCAATGGAGTTCGGCTTTTACATATGAAAAGACAAATGTACCAGAATCTTATCAAAACAAATTATCTTTACAAAGAACTACTGAAGCAGTTAAAAAAACCTGCAAGTTATACATATATATCATAATATGCTATATTTCATAATTAAATATATAACTTATATACTAATTAATAACTAATTAATAAACTTAAAGGCAAAGGTAAACATTCTAATAAAACTTCAGTTCATCAAAAATCTCCTAAAAAAGCTCGAGTTACAAATGAATCTATTAATATTGAAGAACAAGAAAGACTTTTAAGGATTGAGCAGGAAAAGCTTGCTATACAGAAAAACAAAAATGATGAGTTGAAAAAGAGATTATGTTACGGGAAAAACTTCAAAAACTTTTAAACAGTTGAATTTTTTTTATTAAATATGTAATTCATAAATTGTTATATTGATATATAATATATATTCGTGAATGTAATTGCACAATAATTATATCAATATATATTTATTTTGCTAATGCTAATAAATCAAATACAAATGTAAGGCATGTCTAAATTGATTACATATTTAAAGCGAAACTTCTTGGTTTACTAATTTATCGTTCAGTTTATCATTCAATTTATCGTTCAATTTATCATCCTATTTATCGTTCAATTTATCGTTAACATTATCGTTCAATTTATCATCCTATTTATCATTCCATTTGTCATTCCATTTATTGTTCTATTTATCGTTCTATTTATCGTTCTATTTACCGTTCTATTATCGTTCTATCTACGTAATATTAAATATATATATAGGTGCTGTCAAGGAAAAACCTGTCACCGGGGTTTCGAATTTATAATTTACCAGATGCAATCCCTAACAAATTAGGTATATTGAGTCTGGTAAACAATAAACTTGAAATCCCAGTGACAGGTTTTCCTTGGCAACGCTTAGTAATTTTAAACTGCTTTCGGTAACGATATTGAAAAGTTTAATGTACTGTACTGTTCTGTCATTTATAATTTTTTTATTCAGTACAGTACTAATTTATATGTTATATAATAAAACGGTGTACTGTACGGATATATAATATAGTACACCTAAATTTAAGTACAGTACAGTACATTTATTAAGTAAATACAGTACGAAACTTCTATAGCCCG